GTGTGTGTGTGAGAGTGAGTGTGAGTGTGTGTGAGAGAGAGAGAGACACACCGAGAGAGAGAGACACAGAGAGAGAGACACAGACACAGAGAGAGACAGAGAAGTGTGTGAGTGTGTGTGTGTGTGTGTGTGTGTGGAGATGCTGGGTTATTTAGCTTTTCATAAAGTGTTTTTGTTTTTCAGAGTAGTGGAAAGAAAACATCCCAAATCCACATTTTATGTGTTTGTTTTTTTGTATTTTATTTATTTGTGTTTGTAGATATCAATTCCAGTACATGTCACTAAAGGCTGTGGGCTTTTGCTTCACTTCGTCAGCTAAACTTGACGTGTTTGAATGTGTGTTGTGTCTGTTGTAGGATGCTGAGGAGGTTCTGGAGAGCGGCCTGCTCCTGGAAGAGTCTGGAATACTGTACGCTGGACTGGAGCGACACACGGAGGAGTGGAGCGTCGAGCCGCGCTGTGTGAGTGAATACAGGAATAATCCAACCAATAATCAACATTAGCTGAAAATGTGCTCACTTTCAGGCCATCTGTGATCAGGATGAGTTTGTTTCTTCATCAGGTTCTGAGAAATGTAGCATTGCATCAGTTGCTCTGCAGTGAATGGGTGCCGTCAGAACGAGAGCTGATAAAAACATCACAAGTAATCCACAGCACTCCAGTCCATCAGTTAACATCTGGAGAAGACAAAAGCTGAAACAAACCCAGCATTAAGATGGGTTCATAATCCATAATAATGCTTCCTCCGGTGAAAAAGTGTTCTAGTGTGAATCAGGAGAGAAATCTGCACAGATCAAGCAGCGTTTAAACAGCTCTAAACAAATATGTGGCTGGATTTTGATGCGAGAGACAACAGTAGATGCACTTTTTCACTGGAGGAAGCGTTATTATGGATTATGGACTCGTGTTTTAGTTAAAAACGTGTTAATGCTGGATTTGTTTGAGCTTTTGTCTTCTCCGGATGTTAACTGATGGACTGGAGTGCTGTGGATTACTTGTGGATTATTGTGATGTTTTTATCAGCTCTCGTTCTGACGGCACCCATTCACTGCAGAGCATCCACTGGGAATCAAACCCATGACCTTGGTGTTGCGAGCACCATGATCTGCTGATTGAGTGCTGTCCTGAAGCGTCTCTCTCTGTGTTCCAGAGTTTGAATGATAGTGAATCTGAGGAGGTTCTGAACGCCATGAACCCGAACGAGATGTACACGTCAGCGGTGTGATGTCTCACAGACTGAGGAGAGAATCCTGAAGAAAGTGAGACGGAAGATCCGGAATAAACTCTCGGCGCAGGACAGTCGCAGGAGGAAGAAGGAGTATATCGACGGTCTGGAGAGCAGGTGAGACCCAAACACCCCTGTTCCCTTCCCTAATACACGTCCTAGTCTTAATGTTTGCGTTTCCTTTCCGGCTGACGTCACTGAGGTGTGTGTTTGCATGGCAGTGGTCAAATTACAGATGTTAAATGAGTTATGAATGTCTGCATTGTTTCTCATGAGGATGTGAGCTCATTTCAACATTTGCAACATTTTCTCCCTGCACCTGTGTAAAACTGCCTGGCCAAATTAACTACTGTCTTTTGACATACACCAAGGTCATGTGATAATTTAATTGCCATCCGAATCCACATCCACTTTGCAAGATGGAATTGATGTATTGTATTGTAAATCCTTTTGCCATGCAAATTTATCTTTGCATATTTTTATAGAAAGAGTTACTGTCCGAATAGGGCAATAGTTAGAGCTGAACTCTGTGTGAGTGTGTGTGTGTGTGTGTGTGTCTCTCTCTACTTCTGTCGCGTACCCCCAGGTGCCTCGTTCCGCCCCGCCCCCCTTTGTTACGCCGACTGAGCGAGACCGTCTGCGCTTGCGTGTAGCGCGTGGCCACGGACGCCAGGTCCGAGTGGGAGGAGGTGCTATCGATGAGTCTTTTCCCGAGCGCGAGCGGTCGCAGAGGCAGCGCGAGCCGCAGCAGCTTCCAGAAGCGCGAGTCCGTCCGCTCGGAGCGCGCGCCGTGCCAGCGCACGCAGGTGGAGTAGTTGCGCAGCTCCGCGATGTCGCCGCAGGGGGCGCTGAGCGCGCGCCGTCTCACGGTGATGAGGGGTGCGCGCGACGTGTGATGCAGGTACAAACACAGACGACACTCCAGCAGACTGATGCTCTTCTCGCACAGACAGTCCGAGCTCAGCACCACCAGCAGCCGCCGACACGCCTGCATAGACCTGAGGACCGACTCCATCAGATCTGAGACACACACACACAGCAGGCGCTGATTACACTTCCTCTGAAAGAAATGAGCACTTCTATGCAGCAAGGATGCATTAAACGGATCAAAAGTGACAGTGAAGACATTTAGAATGTTACAGAAGATTCCTATTTCAAATAAATGCTGTTCTTTTGAACTTTCTGTCCATCAAAGTATCCTGAAAAATAAAATGCATCACGATTTCCACAAAAATATGAAGCAGCACAACTGTTTTCAACACTGATAATAATCAGAAATGCTTCTCCAGCAGCATATTAGAATGATTTCTGAAGATCGTGTGACACTGAAGATTCAGCTTTGATCACAGCAATGTTAAAACATGTTGGTACTCTTGCTCACAAATATACAGTATAATCTCACTGTAAATGTGACTTCTCAAGAGGAATTCTTATTATTTCAGTTGAGATTTAACTTGAGTCCTTTGTTTTGGGTTGATCAGTGCGTGAAGACTGTTTTTTCAGCTTTCCCACATATACATATTTTAGACATCAACCATTCAATCAACAAGAATAAATAAATCAAAAGTAAGCATCACAAGTAATCCACAGCACTCCAGTCCATCAGTTAACATCTGGAGAAGACAAAAGCTGAAACAAACCCAGCATTAAGATGGGTTCATAATCCATAATAATGCTTCCTCCGGTGAAAAAGTGTTCTAGTGTGAATCAGGAGAGAAATCTGCACAGATCAAGCAGCGTTTAAACAGCTCTAAACAAATATGTGGCTGGATTTTGATGCGAGAGACAACAGTAGATGCACTTTTTCACTGGAGGAAGCGTTATTATGGATTATGGACTCGTGTTTTAGTTAAAAACGTGTTAATGCTGGATTTGTTTGAGCTTTTGTCTTCTCCGGATGTTAACTGATGGACTGGAGTGCTGTGGATTACTTGTGGATTATTGTGATGTTTTTATCAGCTCTCGTTCTGACGGCACCCATTCACTGCAGAGCATCCACTGGGAATCAAACCCATGACCTTGGTGTTGCGAGCACCATGATCTGCTGATTGAGTGCTGTCCTGAAGCGTCTCTCTCTGTGTTCCAGAGTTTGAATGATAGTGAATCTGAGGAGGTTCTGAACGCCATGAACCCGAACGAGATGTACACGTCAGCGGTGTGTGAGAGCGACAGCGGTCTGTCTGAAGATCAGTCCTTAGACGGAGCCCACGAGCAGAACCTCGGTAACGCTGTCTATCAGGTGGTGTATGACATCAGTGGTGTGGGCGGAGCCTCGGAGCAGCAGACGCCACAGATGGACGTGATCTCCATCGAGCTGGGTGAGCAGCATCATGGGAAATGTAGTTTCCCCCACTAATTCTGCTATTAGACATGATTATTTCAAAATAAGTTGAATTGATATGAACAGATGGGAGCGTATACCATTGACTACCATCTTCAGAGCTCACAGAAGGCTTGTCTCTAAAGGTTTGTCAGTCATTGATGTTCTCATGTGTTTCTGTTCAGATGAGTGGAGCTCTCAGATGCTGCTGGCCGACTCGTGTGTGGTCAACGAGCTGGTGTCGTCTGTCAAAGTGGAGGACGTTTCTGCTCATCACGTGCAGAACATTCAGAACCCCGATGGTTTTATGGTACGTTTGTTCTGCGTTCAGGTGAATGGTGAGGCTTTAGCTGCTGCTGCTGATGATTTAACTCTCCTCAGGTTTATCCTGAACTCCAGCTCACAGAGGAGGAGCAGAAGCTGCTGGATCAGGAGGGAGTCTCACTGCCCAATAACCTGCCCTTAACGAAGGTGTGTGTGTGAGAGAGAGTGAGAGAGAGTGAGAGAGAGTGAGAGAGAGAGAGAGAGAGAGAGAG